AATCAAATTTTATCTATTTAGTGTTTGTTTTTACTTTTCTTGCTTTTTCACAGATTCATGGTGAATGATCATTTCTCTATACATACGTAGTAAAAGTCGAATTTTGATAAATTTCTAACTTGCCAACTCACGGTGGAAATTACTATTGAAAGTAATCGTACAACCCTAATCGACCGTGCGGTCCCCGATGAGTTAAAAAAAAAGTCCTGCTGCTAAAGAGTACCTAAAGTCTTAGAGAGTTTTAACGTTGAGTGTTCCCAAGGACCCCGAGGACGTGGAGGATAAAATTGAAAGTACACAAACGCCAAAGGGTTTCCAAGTATCAAAGGGACCTCGTATAATTTCAGAGATAGATGATCGTAGGGTCGAGGCAAAAGTAGCAAATATCGCAGGCTAAACTTATTTTCTTGGAGTCGACTTCTCGCTTCTACTAATATCACTTACCACTTCGTCATTCGAAAATCTATTAAATAAATAATTGTTCGATGCTAGATAATTGATGTCTCCAATATACAAGAAATTAACAATTTCAGTAATGAACTAGTCTATCTTTTCTTAACAAGTGGAAATCAACTCATAGTCAAATTTAAGTTACAAATAGTAAATCAAATTTATAGACTTGCACACATATTAATTAAGTAGTAATATTTATAATTAATATTATAAGTCTAAAAATATAAAAAAAAAGTCATTCAAAATGAAGCACTTGTGCATACAATTTCTTAACAATTCTTAATAATTGAAACAAATTTTTGTACAAAATCCATTGCTTCAAAGATATAAAGTCACGTAAGAAACCGACACAAAAATTCCCAAAGCACAAAATTTCCACCTGAGACGTTAAAGTGAAAGAACCAGAAGATCGTTATAATACAACAGATAAAGATACATTTGTTTTATATCTATGAAACATCCAATAAAACCATTATCATAACATTATTAATAGTAGCACTAGAACTACCAAAATGGTCAAAATGGTCAAAATTTGTCATTTTGACCATTTTGACCATTTTGGTAGTTCTAATGCTATTACTGATAATGTCATGATAATATCATAAGCAAGTAACTATCACGTACGCCAATGACAATGATAATTCGCAATTAATCGAGTTCCTAATAAGCTGCGAGTCAAGTTCCATATCAGTCACGTGCTTTTTCGAAAACGTCAGTCAGACGGCAGCCGCAGGTTCAGGTGATAAATGTCCATGTTTTTATCTGTGTAGCACGACGTAGTTCGCGGCGTGAACTTCCCGGAGCGAATCTGTTCAAACTCTGATAGTTGCGCAGGCTGACAAAGCCCTCTGCTGCTGCTCGCTGATGCTTGCCACAATCGTTCGCGTCGGCCATTGTCTCGGCTTGCCTCACTTGGATACCGAGATGGCGACGTCGCGACGCGCGCTCCATTCGACTGCTCTGTTTATCGAGCCAGTTCGCCGATGAATTTCTTAATGTACACCGATGGAAAGATAAATTGTACCGATAATAGGGACGACTAGCACGTTATATTGGATCGCGCGAACGTCAGAGCGAATTTCATCGTTGATACGCTGGCCGTTTCTCATCGGCTGTTCTCGCTCGCGCGTCTAGACAAGCAGCTGACAGCGTCATAAACGGGGGAACGCTCGTTCTTAAAATTTATGGAGCTTTTTTGGAGGCTAGCGCGCGTGTCCTGCCGAATATTCGAATATTCCTTTCATGATCTAGGAAGAAAAAAATGCAATATTTCCCTTCGATTTCTATTATTGCTTCTCTTAACTTTCCTACAGAAATTAGCTTCAATTTTTTTTTATTAGCGGTTTTAAATTAATTCGTTTGTCGAAGTTTGATTGTTGGAGAAATAAGTTTGTTAAAGCGAAGTTAATACTGTAATGTTATATAACTTTTAATAGTTAGTAGTTAATTGACGTGATTATAGCGTCATATAAATTTCAGAAGATAATAACCGGTGACGTGGTGTCGTGGAATTTCTAGTAATTGCAAACTCTTAACAGAATTTTTCAGCTTCCAGTGATAGTCACTCTTAAAAGTGGCGTTGATAAAATTTCTATCTCTGTTGTTGTCTCGAAGAAACGAAAAATGATGATTTAGATAAGATGACAAACGATATCATGCATTTTTTTTATATCATATTAATATTATACTTATAACAATGACAATGACAACGTAATAGTGACACGCATACTAAATAAATTCGTTCTTTGTTTACTTAATCTCTCCCAATTGCGAGCGCAGAAAGTAAAATTGAAATGGCAATCGACCAATCATTTATTTCCCCTTGGGGGTTTTTAATCTGGAAACGTCAGTGAAAGATTTCTGGTAAAACGGTCTGTAAGTGTTTCCGAGCCCCGGCCAGGGGGATGCAGTTTCAAACTCTTCGCCACTTTTCGGCAGAGCAAACTTCCGGAATGAACTTTAATGCAGTGTACTAAACTTCTTCGACAGGAAAAAGAGAACCATTGATTTCACCGTTGTCCCGAACAATTACCGAACTTCTTTATTATTTTAACGCGAGGCATCTTCCGCCGTTTCTCGACCACCTTCAATTCACTGAGAACGCTTGCATTTGCACGTGATTGATTTTGTGCACCTAGCGAGTCACAAAGTTACTGTAACTGGTGATACAACCGAATAGGAGATGATCCTGCGTGAGCAAATCAGTCGAAAGGAAAGAGTAAAATTTTTTCATTAAAGTCTTCGTTTTTGAGAAAATCAGGGCTGAAAAATTATCAAGTACACGTGTACCAATTTTCAACGAAATATATTCACAGCCTGTTTTCTTGAAAATGACGCTTTGAACGAAAACTTTCTTTATTCTATACTTTTGACTTATTTTCGCGCGTAGAATATCCTCGAGTCGATTATTCGCGCCTGTTCAGTACAGAATTAAATAAATCCAAGCATACTTGACACATTTTCAAATTCGTTTTTCTCGGAAACGAAGGCTTCAACAAGGAAAATTTTATTCTCTCTTTTCGACTTGTTTTTTTTTTTTTAATTCTTTCATATGACAAGACATCGGAAAAATAATTAATTTTTTTTTCCTGTTCAGCAGCAAGTAGATTAAAAATTGTGAAAGACACTCGAAATATTATGACGCGCAATTAATTACGATAAAATTAATATCTGGGATTGATAACGTTGATTAATAAAGTTGATATTCAATTAGCATTTAGTGAAACACATTTTTTGTTCTAAGAACATGAAATAATAGAGATACTAAAAGGAATCCTTTTCACTGTTGTTTAAAAAGATTTTATATTCTTTGCTGTGCAAATAAATTTACGATTGGTCGTAAGTATCGATAACATCGAGCAGATCTACATCAAACTGTAAATTACAACAAGATGTTTAACTTTCTCAAAAATAACAATTATTTCGTCTGTTTATTATTTCGCTTATCAAGCTGTTTTCAATCCCAGCTGTTACTGCCTGGTGTAATATATTCAGAAACTAACAATTAACTGGACCAATGAACACGCTATGCGCAAGATATTCTAATTTATCTAGTTCGAGAATTTATCAACAAGATTACACACAGATGGAAAGACGGATGTTGCGTTGCTTCGAGATGAAAAGGGCGTAATTTCCGGTAAGTGGCTATTGCCCCGGTTTCAAGAGAGCAACGTGAAAACAGAGAAATTAATTTGCTCGTAGAATTGTTGGGATGCGGGGCGCGGTAATGAAAGGTGCAATCACGGATATATTTGAACACCATGTTGTTCGCTTATTAATTATTTGCGTTCTTTAACGCGCTCGTGGCGGCTACGCTTTTAACAGTGAATTATATTAATTAAGCGCAGTTATGCATACAAAGAACGAGAGCTACTTCCATCTTAGAGCGTGAAATAAAATATAATTGTCAGAAGTGATTCTGGATGACACTCGGGTGTAATTTATCTCTATTCGTCCAAAATGCACCGTCTGGTCCTCGTAATAAAAACTAATGTCTCATAATTATATTTATGCATTTCTGTATTTTTTTTTATATACCTCATCTATTAAATACCATTTTGAACACATTTCTCATAACTTCTGCGTAATATTCCTGCATTCTGCGGATTTTTCCATCCCTAAATTTCATCCCTAATCTCACGATA